TGGTCATCTATTATTTCGCCTATAACTTTCAATTCGCTTGTCTCTTGTCAAAAAAGTTAATAATTTCCTTTGGTTCAATATGCCAAACGAAAAGATCAAAATTTTCTTGTTTCCGCTGTAAAAAATTCAACTCATCGGTTTATTTCTGTTATATGAAAGCAGCAACTAGGGTTGTTACATGCCCAAGCTTCGATTTCGGGCTTCGTGAACAAAAGCTTGGGCTTGCGTGTTAGGGTGAGGGTGACCTTGGTGGTCCATCAAAACCTTTTGAAGGACGACTCTTCGAAAACTGTGGGTTTTGGCGTATAACAGTCATTTCTCAATATCTTCTTCATACAGAGCGAACGTATTCTTTTGCTGTCTATTTCCTTTATTCTTAATATTTTACAAATAGTTTTACTAGTAAATATTTCTACGTGTTCTGACTCTCTTTTGAAGTTTCTTTCTTTTTTATTTTTGTGTTTGTGGGCTGATGGTCGATTTAAGGCGTTATGTTGAACCTAATTACTCTAAACCCCAAAATCTGATGGTACAACCATGTTCTAATGTGTATGGAAAGGCGATGCGATTAATGCATGATGATAGTAGCTATGAGTTCCTTGATCATGGTTATGGTAACTACGGACAAGATGGGTATAATGTTAATAGGAATAATTATCGGAATGGATTTCAGTGTAATTTTAGTCAAATGAATGATGTTAGATATTATTGTAATCATGGTGGATATAACACAAATGGTTTTGATAATATGAATCAAATTCCAAATCCTAATATTCGTAATAAAAGATTGAAAGAGTATAATTCGTCTAGGGATTATCAGTATCTCAACAGATGTATGATTCAAATGCCTATAGTCAACAGCAAAGTGGTAATATGTCGATTGACAATTATGTTGATATGGAACGTCGTGGTACAAATGAGGCCCAGTTACCAAATATCACGGACCAAGCTATAAACTATGCAATATCTAGGTTTGAATTTTATGAATAGATTGTATGAATAGATTTTGCATGAATAGATACTCTTTTGGTGTATTGTATAATGAAAATAACTGGCCGAAGGAATTGGGCGGAAGTAGAATTGGGATGGAAACAAAGCCGTCTATACCTCCGCAATTAGCACCCTAGTGTTAAGGACCGTTGGATTGGATCATAATGTAAATGATTTGTTAACGGAGACTCAGGAAGAATATCCGGATTTGTTATAAAATTTGAAAATAAAGTTTCGGAGAGTAAAGTTATTAACGATTTATGTGAGCATGTGAACAAATACTGTGCGGGATTTGATCTAAAACTGGCGGGTTTCCGGTTCCCAAATTCGGCTTCGGGCTTCGTAGACGAAAGCTTGGGCTTCGGTGTGAGGATGAGGGTGACCTTGGTGATCTATCGAAACCTTTTGAAGGACGACTCCCAGAAAACTGTGGTTTTTGGCGTATAGCAGTTAAATGAAGTGACTTTTAAAAACCACCGTTAAGAGGCGAAAAACTCGGAATTCTGCTCGTATTTCTCAATTTTCTCCAACAGAACTCCACTTTTATGCAATAAAACTTTCATATTCGTCGGAATCAGAATTAAAAATCGAATCGACTGATATATATCTCTATCCTATCTGCGTACTTTAAATTTTGTCAAAGTTTCACGTTGAAAAATCATCGAGGTTCTCACCAAAAAGTGAAAATCAAGTAAAAATCTCGAAATACATATCAGTCGATTCGACTTTTTGTTATGATTCCAAATAGGATATTTGTATTGCATAGAAGTTGGATTCTGTTGGAGAAAATTGAGAAATACGAGCAGAATTCCGACTTTTTCGCCTCTAATTTAGAAAAACACCATAGAAACCAAGATCAAATAACACGGAAGTAAACCCCTACGTTTGTTTAGGTTTTAATGCTCTATCAGATGACATCTGAACCAAGTTTTCATCTCTTTTGTGAACTAAGTTATTTCAATTTTAGAAAAGGTTGAATTTTTATACTAAAGTCAAAAATTGAAAGTTTGACTTGGAAACATGAATTTTTTTTTCGAAATATTCGTCTTTCAACACTGAATCCAAATATCATCTTCAAAATGTTCATCTCTTAAGGGTTATTTTTAAAACTCATTCAATTCATATACGGCAAAAAACACGGTTTTCTGAAAGTCCTACTTCCAAAGATTTAGCAGAAAACTTTCTGGAGACAAAAAGAAAGAGGACATCGTGAAATCTCTAAACCCTGAGTTTTAGAACACTATATGCACTGACGTAGAAGTTAGCCTAGACCAAATTTCTTGTGCAAGACACCTATTGCGCATTCTAACAACTTTAACTGATCGATATAGATTATGTTTATTTTATGTAGAAAAAGTAGAGGCATATATAGTGCAGAAAAATGTGACTAATCTTATGTGATTTGCTTTTGTAGAAATATACGCCCACAGTTGGTGGAAAGAGTAGTATATAACTTTTTCATCAAGCGAAGCACTATATATCTCCGCTAATGATTCGTAATAAAGCATCCTTGATCACGCAAATTTAAATTTTCTGCCAACATTCATACATGAAAAATAATACAGAAACGATAAAAATAAGAAACTGAATTGACAACATATGACTTCTTTCTTCGATATATTGCAAACATTTTTTCCCAAGCCAGATTTGCCAAGCACGAGCCCATGCCTAGCTCCAGCCAAAGCCACTAACCAAGCTCTGACTTGCTAAGCCCGAGCGCTTGGCCTTGTAACATCCCTAGCGGCAACATCAGCAATATATCCAGCGACGAATAATGATGGATGTCATAGTAAATGTAATTAGATTTATTTTAATCTTAGATGTGGAGCTTGACCTAATATGAAGAAGAAAATAAGTACTGTACCAATTAAAAATAAATAAACTAATAGACGA